AAAAAAAGAAAAAAAAGAGAAAAAAAATTGCAAAATTTATGCAAGTTGGCGAGTCCTTATCCATCAGTCAAATTCATCCTGGGCAGACTGAGGAGGTTATTTATTCGGGTATTTTTTTATTTTGAGGTTCAGCACATCCTGATTAGTTGGTCAGTAGTAGGAATTAAAAGAAATAGGAACTGAAGTGAAAAAGAGGTTCAGCCTTTTTTTTGTGGAGTTGGTAAATTCAATTGTTTTGAGGTTCAGCACATCCTGATTAGTTGGTCAGCACAGGTAATTGAATTGGTTGGGCTTAAGGACTTAGCCTTAAAAAAAAAGAAAAAAAAGAAAAAAAAAGAAAAGAAAAAAAAGGAAAAAAAAAGAAGAAAAAAAAAGGCCGCCTTTTCTTTTTTGAAATATACACAAACAACACGTAGGAGTTATGCTCAGAGGGAAAGAAGGTGGTAGTTGGTAAATTCAGCGAACTTTCGCAGAACGTTTGCAGAAGTGTTAACTACTGTCTTCCCTTGTACACAATGCAGCACCCTGATTATGAATGTACACAAGCTATGTTTCCGGGGAAAAGGTCTACTTGCACTGATTAAGAGATTTTGGCCGTCGATCTTTCGCTCTCTATGGATGCTATCTCTTAATTCGTGCAACTGGGCCCTACCTAGCCTCAGCCAGATAGAGTCCATTTCTTTTCTCTCTCTTTCTCTCTCTCTCTCTTTTTTTTTTTTTTTTTGGCATTTCGTTCGCGGGAGAACGTTAGTCTGGTGCGGAAGACTTGTGGTATTCAATGAGGGAGGACAGGGTTGGCAGTTTCAAAGAAGACAGAATTCCAAAGATGCCTCTTTGTGTCTCGGTACAGCTAATGCACCTAGACCTGTGCACGTCCAGGTGCGCCCTGGCATAAAAAAGTTAAAACACGTGTGGAATTCGCTAGCAGATGTCAGCGAGTCTTGACCTTTCCCGGTTTCTTAACGTAGAGAACCAGAACAATACAGTCTTCACCCGTATCGAAGACCCGGTCATTATCTCTGTATTTAGACATAAAATCTTCCCACGTACGGATATAATGACCAGGTGTTCTTTTCCGGTGAAGAAGGTTGCCCATTCTTGACCGAATCCGGCCACATTTGCGGCTAGCTAGGATGAATCTGGCCTCATTTGCGGCTAACTAGGATGAATCTGGCCACATTTGCGGCTAACTAGGATATTCAGGACCGTAAGTATACCCTCACTAGAAGACGGGCAATGCAGTAAGGACACGGGTAATGTAGCTTGTAGCTTTTCCCTCCCTCCATCCCTGCACCCGTTCCCCCTACGTCAATTCCTATGTTTCCCCTTCTCTTCTCCTCTCTCCTCTCCTCTCCTCTCCTCTCCTTCATTCTTCCGCCTTAGCCCTTTCCGTCCCACATTGACATGTCATCTTTCTCATTGGTCATAATGGATGCCTTTGTCTTCTTGTAGTTTTGCAGAATTTCGGGCTGCAGACGCGGCGTGCGTGTGAGGCGGTGAGGCGAACGGTTGTTCCATGTCCTTATGCTACAGAATCCCGCTCTGCGCTTCTTGAAAGAACACCGCAAGGGTAAGCCCGCCGGCCCTATATAGTTGTTCGATCTCTTCGCATTCTTGCTGTTCCCCTTGCGACATCGTTCTGTATTTTCTGTTTGTGACGTGTCAGATATGTCGAGCAGAGTAACACCACACGTGCAACTGTTCCTGCCAGTCCGTGTATAAGGACATTGATGCGATCTAAGGAGGTCCACGCTTGAAAATCAACGAAATAAGTAGAGACGCTTGGGAGTCTATGCATGGCTTAGGGAGGGCGGGATTGGGGGGAATGACGGTAGCAGACAATTCTTTTCCTCCCCTTTAGTGGGAACAAGTGATTCTTCCCCCCCTCCCGTCCCTTTCGGACCACCCTTTTGCGTGCGTGTGTGTATGTGTGTTTTTGTCATGTCCGCTATACGCAACTCTGCATAAACAGCATGACTGATTGGGATTTTCACTGGCTCATCAGGAGTGTGTGTGTGTGTGTGTGTGTGTGTGTGTGTGTGTGTGTGTGTGTGTTGTCATGCTCGCCATACACAACTCCACAGAGAAAAGTATGCTGTGCCAGGCTGTTTCACTGACGCATCAGGAGGTTGAACCCCAACAGTCTGCCCAGGATGCATTTGACCGATGGACAAGGACTCACCACATCGCGTAGAGTTAGTGATAATCCTGAGAAAAGTGGTCGACTTTGTGGTGTGTGTGTGTGTCTGTGTGTGTGTGTGTGTGTGTGTGTGTGTGTGTGTGTGTGTGTGTGTGTGTGTGTGTGTGTGTGTGTGTGTGTGTCTCCCTTTGGACTGCCTGCTGATGGTATGCCTCCT